TAGATACTCCGCCTGGTAATAACCTAGTTACCGGGTTTCTTAGAGTGTTGGTAACATTGTAAAATCCGTAAATTCTGCATGTTAACTTACAAACTTTTACGAAATTTTACAATTATTTTGGGAAAATTAGCCAACAATTTTCTTAAACTTACTCAGATCAAGGGACCTTTTTGTAAAAGTTTGTAAAATTATTTTGCCAAACTTACAGATTTTCCATTTTTTCAATGACTACGTTTCATTATTTTTATGTGAGAATTAAACGCCACATTTAAAAATAGGCAAATTAGAGTTATAAAATGCTAATTAGATGAGCCAATATTAGCAGCAAATAAGTAATAAGTTGCTAAAATTATTATATAAAACTTGCGGATTTATCAAAGTTCCCAATAACTGCGTGAATTGTCTCAATAAATAATTCCTACATAAACTATAAATAAAATCATAAATTATTTTACAGGTCAAAAATGGTTGGTTTATTAGCGTTTCCCGTTTTGGAAAAACTTCCCCTAACTTTCGAACAATTGGTGAAATCTGATTACGAAATCGGTTTTGTCAAGCATGGTGACTCTGCGTACAACACGTTGAAAGCGTCGACCGATCCGGTCTACGTGAAACTGCTGAACGACATGGAGATCATTACGGGAAACGGTTTGGAATGTTTGGAACGTGCCGTGGCGAAAAAATATGCCTGCATTGCCTACGCGCTGGCAACGATTTTCTTGAAGGCGAGGAATTTGTCAGACTCGGAAACGAGGAAGCTTGTCTTCGCACCGGAGACGACGTATAATGTGAGTGATTTAAATTTCTGGGATGGGAAAGAGTAGATTTTTAAAATTTTGGCGCCACCCTTCAAAGATAATTTCGCCAGATTTTAGGATTTGTCGAGATTGTGATCTCCACAATACGATTGTTTGAGGAAAATTCGGCTAGGTGGAGCTTTCATAAAATTTTTGCAGCTCATTTTCGCAAGATGGTGCTAATTTTAAGTTGCCCTCGGTATACGACGCCTTGATAAGATTTTTAAAGAAATTTCTGCTACATGACGCCACCAGACAATGTTACAGACTATTTTTCGCAAGTTGGAGATAATTTTTATGGCTTAAATTTTCATGCTTCGCCTAAATTACGCCAGACACTAAAATAAATTCCCATTTTTTTTACAGATTTTCATGGGTTTCGTCCTCGAGGGTGGCTCCATCTACCAGGAAAGTTTCGAACGTTGGATTAGTTGGACGCGGCCCTTTCATCTCGCAGATATCTGGGAAGAGCGCGACCTATATTACACCGTCCGCCTGCCAAAACGCGCCTGGTGGCTGGAAACCAATCAAACGGACAAATTGGAACATTCCAACTTTGCGGAAAGCGACGATCTCACCTTGAAACACATTTCCGGCGCGTTCTACATGCTTATCGGAGGCTTGCTTATCTGCTCCGCAATTTTCATTCAAGAACTTCTCCTAGCAAAGGGGAAACTGTTATTTAAATTTGGCGCTGCAGCAAATAGTCATGGCGATATAGTTTTGTTTCGAACTAATAATAGATTCTATGCCTGAATAAATTAGTTGCTCTCAAAGTCGTGAAAAAAATCAGGCTTTTCTGCTCATTGCTCATTCTGCTCGTTTCACTAAAAATTCGCTCAAATTTCACTCAAAATTCACCAGATTTCACTCAAAACCAGACTTTCTTGCTCATTAAAAAATCAAGGTTTGAGTTGATTTTTTGCTCAATCAATAATCAACTCGTCGACATTTGAACTTCCCGAAAAATTTAAAAAATCTCTAGAATTATTATCAATGCAAAAATTGCAATTATTTTTTGTTCAAGGTTGGAGCAAAATTTTGATTTTCCCGCTCACCAATAATTTTTGTAGCTTGAAAGCACCTAGACTGATTTCGTGTTATTTATGAACAATTAAAGTTTTTAAAATGTTACGCAATTAATTACATTTGACATTATGTGGATATAATTAATGCATTTTCGCAGCTTTCACCTGAATCTGTATAAACAAAGTTTTTCGACACTATAAACTCAATCAAATTTATAGTTCAATTCGAAACCATCGTAAAAAAGATTTAATAAAATTCAACTAGAAAATAACTAGTTTATTCATTTAATTTGAGTAATAGGAGTGTGAAACGTCATTAAAAAATACGTACACAAGCCGAGCGAATCACTATATACACTGTTAGAAACCTGGTATAATCACTGAGATATTGATTTCTCGGTGTTAAAGTTGGCACTGCTTGGTGTTATCACTAAGAAAAATTATACCGGTCCGTAAAAATTTGCTACTGATACGATAAAACTTTAATACCGAGCTATTGCTATACGGTATTACTTACCAATACCACTTTGGTGGTGATGTCACACATGAATACCGCCTGGTATTATTTTAATACTGGAATTCTAAGAGTGAATTTACCTTCTAGAAACAAGATTAAAACCAAATTTTAACAGTTTTTAACTCCTTAAGATGGAGAATTTTGCGATCTTTTTTTCTACTATATGAATTTAACTATCCATAAATTAAATAACGACTTGTAGCCCTCACAATAACGTGCATGCTATCATTAAACCTAGTAAATGCAACCTTTAATTCTGACTTTTACTTTACACTATTAGAAATCTGGTCTAGTCAGGCAGGTATTGATTTCTCGGTATTAAAGTTGCTACCGCTTGGTATTAAAATTATACCGGTCAGTAAAAAATTTGCTACTAATATGGTAAAACTTAATACCGCACTAATGCTACACTGTAAATAATCTGGTAATAAACATTACCGAAAAGCACAAGTATATGACTCTACCAAAGTGGTAATGATGAGTTGTACCGTGTGGTAATGGCTTGGTAATAAAGTTTTACCATCATGGTAACGAATTTTTACTACCGGGTAAAACATTATTACCAAATTTATTACCGAGAAATCATTACCTGCGTGACTTTACCGGATTATTAAGAGTGTACACAGTATCACTTATCAATATCACTTAGAGTCATGTATGAATACCGTTTGGTATTATTTTAATACTAGATTTCTAAAAGTGTATACGTAAATAAGTAACACAAATTTACAAATCGAGATGGAAATTATTATTCATTACGAATTCGTCTGTTTTCATCGCTACAAAATTTTTAAAAAAGAAATTCGAACTGCAAAATTCTAGCCTTGAGATGTGAAGTTCTTAAGTGAATTTTGAAGCCTAATTTTTTGCGAACTTTTTTCGCTTCTAACAATGCGATCTCGTAATAAATACAATTTTTTGAATAATTGGAATCCCATTTGCAGTAATACAGTAAGCAAAAGAATAGATCGTACCTTTACGTATTTTTAATTGCGATATGAAACCGCGCACTTAGAGCTTCGGTGCTCTGCACGCTGTTGTATAAACTCATTGGCGAATAATTCCTCGTCGCCGAGTTTTAAGGTCACCGCACGGTCAAAGGTCAGAATTTTTTTAGCAATTAAGAATGAGAGGCCAAAATGAAAACTTCATGGATAATTTTTTTTGGACTTTCCAACATTTTTTATTGAATGCGGCAAGGCTTCACGAAAAAAATGAGCTATCATACGACCGTGTACGATTTTTTTGACGCCCACAGGATTTTTTCGCCATGGAGAGGGCTAAAATCGTGACCGTGGCGAAATTCAAAGAATTGAAATATACAAAAACATATAAACATTGAATAGAGAGTTCCTTCTTGGCATTCTCCAGTGCAACACGTATCTCTCTCTCGCTCTGCATCTGGATCTCCTTCCATCTGGGTCACGGGTGTGCCAGGGCCAGTTAAGTGTGTCCTAAGGCCCCTACGCCACGTGAGCCTCGTCCACTCACACCCCCCACCTGCGTGCCTAGTGACACCCCCTGCCACACCCGTCCCAGCAACGACAAGCTGAGCCATCAGGCGAAGATGGATCTCGTCAGACCCTGTGCACTGGAGGATCTACGCCTTGGAGGACTCCCCCAGGTGAGACCTTTGAGTGTTATATTGGGGTGGTGAGCATGTGGGGGTGGTCGACTGAAGAGTGGGTGTGCGCGGTGCTGGTGGGGGCGGCTGGGGTAGGTCTACGGGGTTGCCATGACCTGGTCATGTGCTGCGGTGGGAGGGGTTAGTTTGTGGAGAGTTTCATGGCCCCTTTATGGGGTCACTTAGGCCGAACCCTGATGGGCCATTGGTTAGTTTGTGGTCCATGGACGCTCCGCTCCAGCCCAGAACCCGTCGTGTCCCCGCCAGCGCGTCGCCTACTCATTTGGATGTCACCATTTTTCCCCATATGTAAATCGCCTATTATCTCTGTCACTCTTTGGTTGAGCCTGGGTTTTTCAGGTAGTCAGGGCCGAATGGTGATCTGGGCATCCTTCCCAGATCAGGTAGAGGTTTTCCAGACCGACCACCACAGTCTGGTTTTCCATCTACTCCCCTGACTACTATCTCAATTATTATAATCTAAAAATTTGACTAACTATGTAATTATGACTTGCAAGAGCTACTGGCTATTTATGCAATAAAGATACATACATATAAACATTGAATATATATTTTTGTATATTTCAATTCTTTGAATTTCGCCACGGTCAAGATTTTAGCCCTCAAAACTGTCCATGGCGAAAAAATCCTGTGGGCGTCAAAAAAATCGTACACGGTCGTATGATAGCTCATTTTTTTCGTGAAGCCTTGCCGCATTCAATAAAAAATGTTGGAAAGTCCAAAAAAAATTATCCATGAAGTTTTCATTTTGGCCTCTCATTCTTAATTGCTAAAAAAATTCTGACCTTTGACCGTGCGGTGACCTTAAAACTCGGCGACGAGGAATTATTCGCCAATGAGTTTATACAACAGCGTGCAGAGCACCGAAGCTCTAAGTGCGCGGTTTCATATCGCAATTAAAAATACGTAAAGGTACGATCTATTCTTTTGCTTACTGTATATTATTTGAATCGATTTATTGAAATATTTATATTTGAAGAATGATTTTATATATATAAATATTTATAATAAGTCTTATCAAGTAATATCTTTACGTATCAAGACAGCACTGATAATGAGAACATGATGGGTTTATAATAAATAATGTATGCATACAATACTGATAAAAATATTATAATATTCTCAAATTTAGCTCCAGAAACGTCCTTAAATTTCCCCAGAATTTAGCCGGATTCTTTTATTTCTTTCATCGTCCGTATTTCTTTTTTCGCCAACTTCCTGCCCAGAAGTTGAAGGCATATCCCGTTCCGCTGTTCCTGTGGTTGACGTGGCCTCCTGAAGCACGTTGTTGCCACGTGGTTGCTGAAGAGCCTTCCTCCCGCCCGCCGTGTAGCTGAGGTGGAGCAATTTGGCCGCTTTGATCGTATCGCCGACGCGGTACGCCTCCACCCACGCGGGTAACGTCTCACCTCTTGATCGCAACTGCACCTCCTAAAAAAATAAGCGGAAATTTAAAAAAAGGTTGTTTAATCATGAACTTAAATATTACCGATTGGTAAATTCGGTAACAAAATTGTTGCCATAATTGGTAAACTGGAAATAATTCGGTAACAAAATTGTTACCATAATTAGTAAATTGCAAATAATATGGTAACAATAAATGCTGCTCCCAACCAATGTATTAATAACTCTAACACCTTGGTTTAAATTTGTTTAATAGTTTCGTGGAGATTTTTTTAATTTGGCGTCTCACCATTTGTCTCAAATTTTTCAAAATGTCGGCCCGATTATGAACGCTATGTCTGTACGATTTATCCGGGACGAATTGATTCTGACAATTTGGACATGTCACTGATGACGAACTGCTTGTCGAAGAAGAAGTTGAAGAAGAAGTTGAAGAAAGTTGCTGTCTTCTTGAGATCGTGGCCTGCGACAGGATTCGTAGCGTCGTCATCACCTGCGCCATGTCGGGCTCATCCTCGACCGATGGCGTCCTTGGATTCGGCAGTTCCACCGAATTCGTTAAAGACACCAAAGAAGGAGAACTACTGGACGTCGAATTTGTTGAATGACGCGTCAGCTCTGTAAATAAATAGACTTGTTAAAATCCGGTAGAGTTACTGACACGTATTTTTTGGTAATAACTTTCTACCGGATTAGTAGTACATAATTTTTTTCTGACAAATTTGTTAATTTGTGAGTGGCAAATTTTTCATTGCTAAACAACATTACTAAAATGGTAATGCCCGTTATTACCAAGACCAGTAGAGTCATATATGTACTCCGATACCAGTTTTCGATGAGTCCAAATGTTAAAGTGTTTCGTTAAGTTGACACACAAGCGTTTTTTTAAGTTGATTTTAAATTATTCCCGCAGTCGTGATGCGACACGAGACGTTTTCATGATCTAAACTATTTGAATTTTGCTTAGAAATCGGGGAAATTAAAAAAAACTGTCCAAGTGAAAATGTTATGTTGAATTTAATTAATTTGGAATTTGGATCATTTGAACGTTGTAATGATCAATTTAAAAAAAAACTATAAAGAAAATTTATTTGAAAATATAGATAGCTGCACTTTTCGTTCCCAAATATGCACGAGCGAATTGACATATTTTTGGATTACTAATATTTCCTGATATTTCGGAAACTAAAAGATTAAATATTTGAGGTTATGGAAAGATTCTAAAAAATAATTACTTAATAAATTTCATAAAATGTAGGATTTAAACGACGTTGGCAATGTTTTCGCAGAATAAAATTATTCAACAATAACTCAGATATGATAGTGTTCAGGCATAAATATAACTTGCAAGGTTTTTGCATATTCAAAACATTGGCAAAACTTATAGAAAACGATGTGTTTTTTTCGTAAATTAACCCAGAAAATCTACAGATTTTTCCCAAATTTACCCAGAAAATAGGCATGTTATTATTTTTTCAAGATTATTTCGAAATTTGTTAAATAAATTGTGATGCGAAAAAACACGGTATTCGGCTTGTTTAAAATCTGAGGAAGGTTGTAAAACAGAATTTTAAACAGTATGCAAATAACCGTTTTGTGTTCAATTTTAGCAGTTTAAAATTGCATCATTTAAACGTCGAAATGACAAATTTTTCAGAACATATGGAGAAAAATTATGTTAAAAGGTTCCTACAAAGCTGTTTTTATTATTCTCAAATCGGCACTGTCAAACTATTCTTTGTATCTTGAAAAGTAAGATGATCATTTTCGTTGCCATTCGGTGACAAATATTTACCTTTCATTAGTGAGTGACTCACACGGGGACGATTTTGTTACAATCTTATTTCGTATTATGATATAAATGTCATGTTAAAAAGTCGCTTACTATAGTGCAAAAAAATTAAAAATTCATCAAAATTGAAAATACCTAAGGAGAACAGGGGAGTGCAAATCTGCAAATTATCTATGTGATTACATATATCTAGAAACATACAAAGTGGCATCAAAAGTATTCAACTATGGAGGATGAAGATTAGATGTAGATAGATTTTTAGTCTCGCTCTACCCCTATTCGCAATTTTTTAATTGCATCAATTTCATGAGGTTTTAGATAAATGAAACTTTTCATACCATGTAAAACTAATTGTTGATGCTATAAAACTGTCGATTTAAAAACTAGCTAACAGGATTGTAAGATATATATCATGGCAAATGAATTAGCAATTTTTTTTCAAATCGATATGCGATAGTAGCAAAAATTAGTTTACATTAAAGTATAAAAAGTTACATTGTATCTCAAAACTCATGAACTTTGTGTCATTTAAGAAATTTGCAATTAAACGGGTGGAGTGAGATTAGAAATCTATGACAGAGTTATTCCACCTTAAAACACGGTAACAAATTATAAATCTTTTCGAATGATCGTTCCCGTGAAATATATTTCTTTCCCAAATTTTTTGATACTTGAAAATCCTGTTTAAACTTGAGTGAGTGAGAACTGATCTCATTCATGAAATCTACGTTTACCCGACCAAAGATTTATTATTTATGCAACGAATTATCCATACGCTTGTACAGACATAAATATATTACATATGCAAAAATTTTGCAAATTTTACAGTACATACCTACAAAATGTAACTCCTCCATTCAATTTGTACTTAAAGATTTATAAATTTTAAAACCTTACCATTATTTCCCATTCCTTTCTTGTTAAATTATCTCGCTGCATGTGCACAATTAGTACTGTTGCGTTTTAAAAAAAAAACTTTCGATTTGACTCTGGGAGACTTCCTTAGCTGAGATGAAACTGGTTGTAACTCGATGATCTCGGCGTATTTATATGTGCAACTATTTTCATGCTTATGTAAACTTTTCCAAGTGGATGCGATGATTATCAAACGAAAAGTACTTTAGGAAAGCACATCATTTCTATCCATGAGAGAATTTAAAACGCACATCATTTCTATCCATGAGAGAATTTAAAACGCACATCATTTCTATCCATGAGAGAATTTAAAACGCACATCATTTCTATCCATGAGAGAATTTAAAACGCACATCATTTCTATCCATGAGAGAATTTAAAACTTCAACAAGGGGAGTAAGTAGCATGAGTCATCATATGATTGTTTTCTGCATGAAGTATTGGCTTATGTATGTATGAAGGTATGAAATGCAACTACTTGATTCATCTATAGTTACTCATCGTATGGTGAGCAATAAAAAACGTTCATGGTGAATATGACACACTTGAGAATCTTTGAAACATTTTTAGCGACTAACTTAATAGTGGGTGTATCTATTTACTGCACTTTAAAAAAAAACTGGTATTAAATCATATCTGACCAGAGTATACGTTCCTATGTAGATGACTCTACCGGCTCGGTAATAATGGATATTACCGTGTAGTGAGGTTGTGCTAAAATTTACCACTCAGAATCAAACTACTACCAATCCGGTAGGAAGTTATCACCAATAAGTCAATACCAGCACCGTGTATGTATATACATATTTGACTCTACCAGATTTTAAACTGTGTTGAAACGTTCATTTCATACTTAATGAAATAATTGTAAGTATCCGAGGCAATTTCGAAAATTGAATTTACATAAAACAAATATTAAAAACATGCAAATCACAAAATTAAAGTATGTCGGAAACACTGAAATCATCAGACCACATGAAAACATGACTATTCAAAAATAATAAAAGAAAGGCGTATACGCTCCAATTAAAGTTTTGGAAATTGAACTCAAAGTTGTGTAAAATAGACGATTTACAACGATTTGAAAATGTACGTAAATTTTATCCAATTAGTAAATTTTGCACAATTTTACTTAGAGTGTAAATTAAGTCCTGGGTCTCAAATTCCCGGAAATTTATATCATTTATGTACCAAGTAAACTAAAATTAATGACTACTTTTCGTAAAATTATGACTCTAACATCCTTATTGTGACATCATCTTTTAACGATTTTAGCTGACTGTGCACACAAAAATGTGATCCAAGGGAGCCAGCAAAGGTCAAAATTCTCCGAATTTACATACGTACATCACACACTTTAGGTAGAAAATCCCTGCGTATTTATTTACAAAGTCATGAATGCTCATGAGTTGTCATGAACAAGCTTTATTTATATTTTTTTAAATCAATACAGATACATATTTACCGTTATTAAGTAGCTCATGTGAAGTTAATTACTTTTACATGGATGCATCCAGAACAAAAAGAGCGCAATAATTTTTCTTTACATCAAAACCATTGAGTTATTTTTAAAATAAACGAACAATGGAATGTTTTATGAATGGGTTAAATTTAATGCACCACCGAATAAGCTGAAATTTGCCACAAGTTTTAGCTGAATTCGCCACCGGATGAATTTTCTCCAACTTTAGCCTTTTCAGCCACCGATTTAGATGGTGGTTACCACTAATTTAGATGAGCTACCATCACCATATTTAATGACGATAAAACATGGGTATACATATATTTATAAAAAAATATAAGCACAATAATCCCAAGAAATCATGCTAATTTCCTAATTTCCTTATTGCTGCATGTACCTATGTATATATCTATGTGCATATCATTGACTAGACTGGGCAGGAGAAGTGACGTATGTATTACCTTTCGGGTGGTCATAAATACTCTCACAGTTGTCCTGCAGTTAAAATATATCTATCTGAACAACGTTTTTTAAAACCAAAGAAATGACGTGTTCGCTAGTTTTTAATTAGACCAGTGATACCGTATCCTCTCTTCCAGAGGAAAATTCTCCCAAATTTTAGAAACTCAAGCCCAGTTGCGTCTAATATTCCTTTAGAGAGTAGTAGAATATAGAATTAACCGGATTAATCTAATCCGAATCCGACAGGGTAGAACTGGCACTGGCTTGCTTTTTTTCTGACCCAATAAAGTTGGATCGGATCGATTTTTTATGACCCGACCAAGTCGGATCAGATCAGATTGGATTGGGTTTGAAAAAACATCAATCCGACTACACTATAGAAAGTAGGATCGAAGTTAATCCGATTAATCCAGTCCAATCCGAATCCGATGGACTCGGATTGGGTCGGATTATTTTAGGATCCGACCAGATTAGATTGGATCGGATTGGATTTTGTAAGGACCCAACCAAGTCGAATCGAATCGGATGTTTTGAAAAACATCGATCCGACTACACTCTGGTTTCCTTTGCTAGTAGTGGGGGTCTCTTAAAAAACCGAACTTTTCACCCAACCAGTATTGCTGTTATGGCTGGAGAGACATCTAACAATTTTCAATTTCTGTTGGAAGGCCTTGAAGGGGGACGCAAGGAAATAATTTGTTTAGAAATTCAGTATACGCTTATGATGTTAGACCGGAAGCCAAAACCGTTCCATTTGGTCAAAAGCGTATGTAAGAATGGGGTTGCGAAATAGGGTTGCGAAAGCTAAAAAAGCGCTCAATGTTATTTAATTTCAGGTGTATTTTTAAAAATGACATGTATATGTATAGACGTATTATACAAATAAATGAATCATATTATTGTAAATTATATTGCTTGTATAATCCTATGCTCATTAAATATGGTAATGGCAGCTCATCTAAATTTGTGGTAACCACCATCTAAATCTGTGGCTAGAAAGGCTAATGTTGGAAAAAATTCATCCGGTGGCGAATTCAGCTAAAATTTGTGGTAGATTTCAGCTTATTCGGTGGTGCATTAAATTTAACCCTTTATGAATTAATCACTGATGACATAACCATAGTCAAGTATGCAGTTAGTTACGTGGGTGGGGGTGACTTCAAATTATTTGCAGGTAGACCGAAAATGGTGTTGCATGCAAATTGCATGCGAAAATGGAATACACTGGATTTCAGAAAGTTTCATGAACACCTGAAAAAAGCTACGTGTACATTAAAATGAATAACTCGAGGTATACCTCGCTTGTGGTAAATAAGGAAGTTTTTTGTTGTATTTTACCCACACAATTGTAGTTCGTCGTCTCTTCGGTTACGTGTTAGACAAATATTTACAACCCGGCCGTTCTTACTACAACTACAAATAATATGTAAAAACTGTTGGAAATCTGGTACAGTCAGGAAGGTATTGATTTTTCGGTATTAAAGTTGCTACCGCTTGATATTAAAATTATACTGGTCCGTAAGATCTTGCTACCGATGTTATAAAAATTTAATACCGAACTATTCCTACACCGTAGCACTTATCTATACCGCTTTGGTAGAATATGTATAATATGTATATACATACTGCTTAGTATTATTTGAATACTGGATTTCTAAGAGCGTATGTATATACATAATCGATTTCTCAATTTATAAAAAAAATGAGACTTTTTGCATAAAATTGTAGAAAACCATTGGCTGAATTGGGTAAGAATTCATATAAATTTACCAACATTTTGGTCAAATCCCTACATATTTACGATTGAATCTAGTCTTACTAGAATCTCATTTTTAGCAACGATTTGAACAGAAATTCCTGCAACTCATAAAAAATTTTTCTACGTTTATGCATGCGTGATGTAGTTTGAATCTAGAAATAATTTAGATTTTAAATTTGAAAAACAATAATAAATTTTCGAAATATTTATTAACTAAGGATTAGCTAGAGATTGCCGCTGATTGGATAAAATTCTGAAAGTAACAGGTAATTTAAGCAAACAGATTGTTCCTTAAGTGTTTGTTAGAATTTATGGTGACTTAAACTCATATAACATTGCATAGTCATGTACAGGATTAAATTAGGTTGAAAAAATTTATGACCACATACTCGAAATAGGTTGGTAACAAATCGTCACCACCACGTGCAGTCATACGTTGGTAAATACCTATTTGTAACTGAAAGATACTAATAATTTCCCGGAGATTCGAAATTGTTACTACATGGTAATCAATTTCTAATGAAAAAGTGCTAAATTTGAGTTTTACAAAAGTTGTTACTACAATACGGTGGCAAATCTTTACCAATATGATGAGATGACTTCACCTGGAAATGAATTTGTTGCCAACTTATTTTGTGTGTACTCTAACTCTCAACGTCATAAACCCTGGGGTACTATCTGCATTTCAATTGGGTTTATGCATCGCAGTTTAATTTTTCAATAGCGACTTGTAACTTGCACAAAATAATTAAAAATTATTAATAATAAATTATTAATGATAAATTATTAATTTTTGATTATAAAGAAAATTCACTGATGCAAATTTAATCCGAGTTATATTTTGAACGGATTTTTTTAGATAAAAAAAATCAAAACATGGAACTAAATATGGTGCACATTTTAGTTTTTAAAACGAAATCGTTCTTATAATCATTAGTTTTGATATCTCAATTTTTGTCCTTGGTAACACGGCAAAAAGGGGCCGTCCATAAATTCACTGGATTTTGCATCAGTTTTTAAATGCTAATTTTATGAACCCGAACCAATATTTATTTTCATCAAGTCGTTTTTACTCTTGGTTTTTCAGTAATTTCAGGTTTTAATGTATATAACCAATTTTAAAAAAGTACACTACAATAACAAAATTTATAAAAAACGACGTCATATTGCCGAGCCAGCCGTGCACTCTAAATAAATTTAAATTTAAATTTAAAATAAAATACATTTTATTAAGAGTGTGGAGACCTTAGAATTTTCATTAATTTGCCCAATTTCACAAATACTACTTAAGCTCATACAATATTCCGACTTTCAAAATTCATTTTTTCTCAATCTTGAGACATTTTTATTTATTTTAAGGATGAGTGAACTCTAACTCGAGCTGTTGGCAAAGGATAATTCTGCATTTTACTTAGATTAATTAATCTAAATTCATTAATTAAGATAAATTAACCAAGTCTAATTTTTTACTAGCGACTTTTCACCTGCCCAAAATAAGTAATATTTTCTGAAGAAAAATTAAATACTTAACTTTGACGATTACTGCTTTAAATATTGTGACTATTCACACAGGCCTTGGTAACATTGGAAAATAAGCAATTTCTGCAAACTTACAAACGTTTACAAAATTGTGTACATATTCTGAGAAAAATTGGCTTGCGAATTTTTGTAAATTTCAGCTCAGATTAAGGGTGTCTTTGTGTTTTATAAAAGTTTGTAAAATTAATTACAAAATTGACGGATTTTACAAAGTTACCAAGAACTGCGTGAATTCTACCTTATCATATTAATCGAGTTTTAACAGTTTTCGTGGTGAGAGTCACGTGGTAGGTTATAAATCTAACTCATTTCCGTTAAACGATGTATCTGAAAACTTGATCGTGCTGTGTTGGATGGATTAAAGTTTGGGAAATTTAGATCTAAAAAATATACAATATATATTTCCTTTTAATCGTCTCAAATTTTCCAAGAATTTTATAACACAATTCAAAACAATAATTCATAATTAGGTAATTAATTATTTAATAATTAGAATCATTTCAAACAATTTTCACCACTCTCACTTTCTGCCCAACTTTCTCCACTAGCTTTCCCCACACGTGGTCTCCAACGCCACCTCTTTTTTCGTCCAACACGTTAAGTTCGATCCTTTTCATGGCAGGAAATTCCATCTCGGTCAGTACTTTGACATCCTCCTCTCCCAACTTTCTCCCACCCGAGATGCGCAGAATTTCTAAATTTTCACCCAAAACTTTCACCTTGTCCAAAACTTCGACCACTTTTCCCGGCCAACCGACAAACTGCAAGAGCTTCACGGTCCGCGTACATTTCAAAAACGAGATCAAACTCGCGTTCAAATCGGAATCATTAAAACTGAAAAAATGTTCGGAACAAGCTAAACTTTGTAATTTTATGGTAACCAAATTTTCTAGAATTAAATTTTTATCGTCATAGTTCGAATCGAGTTTGTAGGTCCCACCATCTTGAAAATTAGCCCGGCCGAATTCCGGAACTCGAATGATGTACAAGTGTTTCAAAGCCCGCATTTTCTTGAGGAGGTCGAACCACTGGGAAACGTGGCTCGTGTGGACGGCAATTTTTACCCGGGTGACGGAATCTTGGAGAAAGTTGGAGAAAGTTGTCGCTCCCAACATGGAAATGCTTAATTTTGGCAGTAATTTAAAGTAGAACGACGTCACGAAGAATTTTCGGGAGGCAGAGTTGCAAAATTTTAGCAACTCGACGAGTTCGGAGTGGGTGGAAAATTTCAAGTGTTGAATATTTCTGGAAATTGTTTTGTAGTTTAGGACGGATCGTTTAGGGCCGTTGATTCTTCGACAGATTTCTGAATTCCATAAGGAGCAGATCAGTCGGGCCGAGAGGGTGGAGGCTGGATCGAGATAGTCCAAAATTTTGTTGATGATCTAGTAAAAAATAAGCAAGTGTGAAATTAGAGAGATTGAAAATCTGCAAAAACGAAGTTTTGCATTGTCTCCATTTCTAGAATAGTAAATTTCCAAATCCACAATTTTATAATTTGTGTAACTTTTTAATAATTATTTTTCATAAAAGAATTATGTTGTGAAATTTTTGAAATTACGACTAGTTTAGTATTTATATTTATGTGTGGCGTTTAAATGTCAAAACTTATTGAAATAAAATGTACAATCTTTCAACAAGTTGAAGATAAGTGCTTCAACCTGTAAGAAAAGGTTGCCAAATGTTGTTCAATAATGGATATCTGGAAGGTAACAATAATTCACTCAAAAAATAAAATTCTAAATATTCAAATTTCATCTAAATCGGCATGAAATTATCCTCCATATGGAACTGATTAAAAAGAACATGTACAATTTATTAACTTATGCACAAAATATTTAAAGTATTTACGTGACTACCCCGAAGTATTTGCATCAGGGGAGAAAAGAATATATTTATGAATAATGGCACAATGTGCAAATGAAAGTACTAACTACGAATATGTTCCAGTTTTGCGTTGAAATTTCAACAATTGTAGGAGAGAATACGTGGAATTTGGTAGTTGTAAAAGAGAGTGATAGATGTGAAGAAGGGCGGTTAGCCTAGTGGTAAAGGTGTCCGTCCGGGAAATGGGAGACGCGGGGTTCGATTCCTCGCACCACTCTTCAAAACATATTTTTGCTCTCTTTCGCGTATTACAACTACCAAAAATCCCACACAATTAAAAATTGCATCATGTAGACGTCCAAATAATAAATTGATAAAAATTATAAATAAAATTTTTGACCCCAGATTTGTCGCTTGTTGAACAGTAGGTTGATCTGTTAATATCAAATTCACTGTTGAAAATTTCAAATTTGTTCAAAATTATTATTACCCTTCGGTGGTAATGCGCTTTAAATATACTATAGTAAAGTATAGCATATGGTACTAATTTATTTGCAATGTAAATTTTCTAATCTTACAATTTATAAATATTACTGTTCATTCAAAATTAATATGCACTAAAAAATCTGAAGGGTTATTTGGCGGATGATTTTTTTCCATGACTTAATTTTGTTTAAAAATACATTATTTTCCATCTTTCGACTGATTTTCGTTTAAAAAGTAGAATAATTAAATAGTTGTTAATGGCAATCAATAACTTAGGCCATTTGACCTTTTAAAAAATTTTGAGGACTTTACTGCATATTAATTCTGAACGAACAGTAGTAGAGGGTGCTTTAGAATTAACGCAACTGTTTTCATATGCACAAAACTTAGGGATATCAGTTTGCCCCAAATTCGAAATGATCGTGGTCATGTAGCACATCCATCCATCGTCTAAAATCCGAAAACCAGAAGTCGATATCTCTATCCGTTCCAAAATGAGGTCACAAACCACCGAGCAACTAGCAAAAGCCGACTGCCACACCACGAAAAAGTGGTTACGCGCTCCAAGAAATTGAGCTGTAGTCACTTTAAAAATCAAGTAATTCAAAAACCGAAAATTTGGCATACACTACGTAGGTATGAGCTACAAAAAACTCCTAATCACAAAAAAATATCTGGTCGGCCCATTCGTGTGGTAGCCCCCAAAACGTGAAGACTCGTACAGCTAGAAATCTACAATGTCGAAGCGAAACTCTTTTAAGTACTTGAAGTTATCACCTAACACTACACATTATTTTGAACCTTAGGAGTTGGGTATCAGATCCTATAAGCCTATATAAGGTTTTGAATACAGTGAAGGTCAAAATCAAAGTGGGAAACAAGCTTGCCGAAAAAAGGCTCAACCTGAAGTTATCAAAATTGGACGTCGTCCACCACCCGATTTACTACCCAAAGTATCGAAATAACTTTATTTCTGCAAAGTACAACTCTCCTACCCTCTAGAAAACCATTTAAGCAGAACTAGAAAATAGATCTAAGTAAAAATATCCCGATCCGCCCATAAACGGATCAAATGCAATTAACATGGGAGAGGTAAACAACGTTCCCAAATTTGCCCCGTACAAGACCTATTGAAGAATTTTTGTCTTTAAGCTGGAAAGAATATCATAGCCGAAAGCATTCAACTAAAAGTTTAAACTTATTTTACTAAATGTGGTCAGAAATCTCAAAAAAGGTAGCTCAAAACAGTGGCGAAGCACTTTTTGGAGCGTCTGATAAACGCTTCTCCAGATTGGGTGAAAGGGGGTGTTTGGACCATTGAAAGCAAAAAATAATTAGTTCGAACCCTTGCCTATCTCTGCCCAAAATATCGTTTAAAAAAATAAATTGCTTTATTTTATATCTGCAAATAAAGAAAGTTGCGTTAATTCTAGAGCACCCTCTAACATATTTATCCCAGAAAATTTTGGATTTTGCGATATTATTTCGCAAACTGTTTACTAAATGTGAATTCCTACGCGAAATAACGTTCTCGTTGACGTGAGTATTTGCAGTATTTAAAAAAGCTTAAAAAATTGCACATTGTGCAAATGAATGTCCTGAATATTTACGTAAATACGAATCTGGTTTTGTTTCAAAAATTTATGGTCAAAAAACACAAACACCTAATTAAAATATAATAATATTTAAGTTTAGAAAAAATGATAATCGAAATCAAAGTGTTTACTAAATGCGATATTATTTCGCAAACTGTTTACTAAATGTGAATTCCTACGCGAAATAACGTTCTCGTTGACGTGAGTATTTGCAGTATTTAAAAAAGCTTAAAAAATTGCACATTGTGCAAATGAATGTCCTGAATATTTACGTAAATACGAATCTGGTTTTGTTTCAAAAATTTATGGTCAAAAAACACAAACACCTAATTAAAATATAATAATATTTAAGTTTAGAAAAAATGATAATCGAAATCAAAGTTCGATACAGATCGATTTTTGGAAGTAAACATTTTTTGCTGAGGTTAAATTTGCTGAGGTTAAATTTGCTGAGGTTAAATTTGCTGAGGTTAAATTTGCTGAGGTTAAATTTGCTGAGGTTAAATTTGCTGAGGTTAAATTTGCTGAGGTTAAATTTGCTGAGTATTTTTTAATTATGCATTTTTATGCATTTCAAAATTATTATCTCCATTCGGTAATAATGCCCCTTAAATATAGTGCTAACTTTCTCGGCTAATTTCTAGTTATTTATCCTAGAAAATTGGAATTCTGCAATACTATTTCGCAAAGCTGTTTGCGAAGGTAAGTTCGTCCACGAAATAACATTGTCCTTGACGCAATATACTAAAATTATTTTAAAACTGAGGAAAAATAATTAAAAACTGTACATTGTGCAAATGAATGTTTTAAATGTATATATAAATTATAAATTCTAATCTGATCTTCCTTCGAATTTTAGCAATTTTTAGCCGAAAACACACACAAACCTCTAATTAAAACTTAATAATACTTAAATTTTAAAAAATCACAAGCAAAATCGATCTAAGTTCGCAGATCGATTGTTGCAAGTAAATATTTTTTAGCTCAGGTGAAATTTGTTAAAATTTCTTAAAATATGACTTTTTGGAATAACCTTACCAATAAATTTCGTAGTGGGGAATAATGCTCCTCAAAATTATGTTGGTCAAGATTTCCTTCATTTTTACCAATATCGCGTTTCAGCCATTTTTCATGATTGTCCCGTGGATAAAATCGGCCACGTGGTAGCATCGAGTAATATGCAGACCCCATTTTTCACGAGATAGTCACCAGAATTTTGGTACGAAATTTCACCGAAATATCACTTTTTAGCAAGTAGTTGTTCCGTTCATAATTTTAAACGAAATGCAAAATTTTCTAGAGTCTGTTAATAATTTGAATGCAGACAGAATCTGGAGATTCCCAATTTTCATATAGAAAGAAATTGTTCGAAAAACAAAAACACGACATAAAAAAAATATATTTCTTGAAAAAATTCACTATGCAAATTTCGATTTTTACAACTTTTTCATTGATCTCAGCCACTTTTTGTAACTTCCGATTACATTAATTTAAATTAAGGTTTATAACTAATCTAAAAAAAATTATAACGACTTCTTAGAACGATAAAACAATGTTGAAACTTATCAAGTTCCTTGCAACATTGTAAACTTCATAAAATCCATAAAGTCACAAAATTTTCTACAAGTTAAAAAATATTCGGAGTGAAAATAAGCGAAAAATAAGTCACTCATTTTTTAGCTTTTCAACAAGAAGTAATTACTTAATGCTAAATCAAGTAAATCGAACTGTTTAATTAATTAATCACTAATTTTGTAAAAAGAACTCGAGTCGTATTTAACTTGATTAATTAAACGAAATTCTTCCTGGTCACATAGTTGTCCTTCTGTGTGGAGAATTTATTAAGTTCTAAAAGTCTGGCTGAATCCAATTTGAGAGTGAAATTTGTGTAATGAGTGATCGAGGTCACGAATTAATCTCGACTGCATCTTATCGGTTGGTAAGTTCATATATTTATTTACTTTTATTTATTTATCGTTCTTAATAAATATTTGTGATTTCACTTGAACCCAAAAATATGGACTTTCTTGAAAGGGCCGTGCATAAAGAAGTCAAATGCATTTAGACTGTTCATGACTGTTAGAAATCTGGTATAGTCACGCAAGTATTAAAATTATACCATAGAAATTTGTCACCGATATGGTAAAACTTTAATTCCAAGCCATTTATTACTACACGGTATTACTTATCAATACCACTTTGGTAAAGTCATATATGAATATCGCTTGGTATTATTTGAATACTTGATTAAGAGGGTTATCTCAAATATATGTTACTGCTCAGAAAAATGACTTTTCTAGAAAAACGAGTTTCGCGAAATATGAAAAATTTATTTCCCAAAAATTCCTTGTTTGTTATAACAAAAATTACAAAACAATTACGTCATATCAAGCATAGATCGGATATTTTGCGTACTCCGGCCTCCGCGTACTCCGGCCTCCGGCCGGCCATGCGTACTCCGGCCTCCGGCTGGCCACGTGTACTCCGGCCTCCGGCTGGCCACGTGTACTCCGGCCTCCGGCTGGCCACGTGTACTCCGGCCTCCGGCTGGCCACGTGTACTCCAGCCTCCGCGTACTCCGGCCTCCGGCTGGCCACGTGTACTCCGGCCTCCGGCTGGCCACGTGTACTCCGGCCTCCGCGTACTCCGGCCTCCGGCTGGCCACGTGTACTCCGGCCTCCGCGTACTCCGGCCTCCGGCTGGCCACGTGTACTCCGGCCTCCGCGTACTCCGGCCTCCAGAAAAAGTCGCGTACTCCGGCCTACGGAGGCCGGAGTACGTACTCCAAGCCCGGAATTCTCCTATCTATGCGATCGGAAATTTTGCGTACTCCGGCCTCCGTACTCCGGCCGGCCATGCGTACTCCGGTCTCCGCGTACTCCGGCCTCCGGCTGGCCACGTGTACTCCGGCCTCCGGCTGGCCACGTGTACTCCGGCCTCCGCGTACTCCGGCCTCCAGAAAAAGTCGTGTACTCCGGCCTCCGGAGGCCGGAGTACGTACTCCAAGCCCGGAATTCTCCTATCTATGCGATCGGAAATTTTGCGTACTCCGGCCTCCGTACTCCGGCCTCCGGCCGGCCATGCGTACTCCGGTCTCCGCGTACTCCGGTCTCCGCGTACTCCGGCCTCCGGCTGGCCACGTGTACTCCGGCCTCCGCGTACTCCGGCCTCCGGCTGGCCACGTGTACTCCGGCCTCCGGCTGGCCACGTGTACTCCGGCCTCCGGCTGGCCACGTGTACTCCGGCCTCCGGCTGGCCACGTGTACTCCGGCCTCCGCGTACTCCGGCCTCCAGAAAAAGTCGCGTACTCCGGCCTACGGAGGCCGGAGTACGTACTCCAAGCCCGGAATTCTCCTATCTATGCGATCGGAAATTTTGCGTACTCCGGCCTCCGTACTCCGGCCTCCGGCCGGCCATGCGTACTCCGGTCTCCGCGTACTCCGGCCTCCGGCTGGCCACGTGTACTCCGGCCTCCGGCTGGCCACGTGTACTCCGGCCTCCGCGTACTCCGGCCTCCGGCTGGCCACGTGTACTCCGGCCTCCGGCTGGCCACGCGTACTCCGGCCTCCGCGTACTCCGGCCTCCGCGTACTCCGACCTCCAGAAAAAGTCGTGTACTCCGGCCTCCGGAGGCCGGAGTACGTACTCCAAGCCCGGAATTCTCCTATCTATGCGATCGGAAATTTTGCGTACTCCGGCCTCCGTACTCCGGCCTCCGGCCGGCCATGCGTACTCCGGTCTCCGCGTACTCCGGCCTCCGGCTGGCCACGTGTACTCCGGCCTCCGGCTGGCCACGTGTACTCCGGCCTCCGCGTACTCCGGCCTCCGGCTGGCCACGTGTACTCCGGCCTCCGCGTACTCCGGCCTCCAGAAAAAGCTGCGTACTCCGGCCTCCGGAGGCCGGAGTACGTACTCCAAGCCCGGAGTACTCCGATCTATGATATCAAGCAACCAGCAAAAGCGAAAGAAATCTAAATATTTATTATAATTTCCCCAATTACCTAAATATTATTAATACAACGTCAAGCGCTTACAAAATTCTAACTTTCAAAATTAAATTTAACAAAACCTTAAAATTGAATTACGAAAAACTGCTTTTTAAAAACTGAAGAACTGCTGATCTAATTTCAAAAACTTCAATTAATTATCTGTCGCGTTTAAAAAGCTAGAAGGGAGACGTATCATTTTATAACATAATCTTATTAAGTCTGCTGCGTCGCTGAAGTTTGCATCAGTTTTTTAAAATGCTAACCAACTTTTCGTGAGTACCCAGAGTTAGAAGAAATATCTTCAAGCAATCCGTGGGGTCGACTTTTATCTTTTTCATCCTTTTAATTTAACGAATTAAAAAACATATTCCTTTTTCGTACTAACAACGTTTGGAAATCAAGTCGGGAAGAACATATCTGAATAATTTGTCAACCTAACCTAATTTCAGAAATATGATTAATACAACGTCAAGCTCTTACGAAATTCCAACTTCCAAAATTAAATTTAACAAACTGCTTAAAATTGAATTAAAAAACATTCAAAATTTTCATCAAAATTGAATTTAAAAAACTACTCATAATTAAATTTAAAAAGCTGCTTAAGATTAAAATTTTAAACCCATTAAAAACCTGCTGAAATTATGTACGTAATTTGTGAAAACTTGCATAGTTTCCAAAGTTTCGAACGAAAACCGGTTATATCATTAACCGTGATCTTATCACATTCGTTGGGTTGCTTCGCTGAATTTTGCATCAGTTTTTAATTGCTAACTTTATGAACCCGAGCCAATCGACGCCATTTTGCAATTTCATCATAACTTGAGCCTTATTTGTACATGCTGAACACAAAACAAAAATATCCACGCTGAGCTTAAAATTTCTCGCAGAAATTCACTAAATTTTTAAAGATTTTTTTAAAATGTGGGCTTTAAATTTGAGTAAAAACTGAATAAATTTCAAATCGACGTCACTTTACAACTTGTAATAATTCGAAATCTCTTAACCGTGCCTGGGAGAGTGAATTTCTTAAAAATGATGTTTAGGGCTTATTTTTGGACAGAATGGAAAACGGATCGGTAATTCTGTGAGGAATGGGTTTCTCCACAGAATTACCGATCCGTTTTCCATTCTATCCAAAAATGAGCCCTAAACATCGTTTTTAAGAAATTATTTTTGTGCCTGCTTCCCAGGCAGCCTTAAACAAAATTCAAATAAAGCCATCTTTTTCATAAAAACAAATTTCTTACTCGAAGAAAATAACATGTCACTCACTCGTGCATATTTTAAAAATTGGTGAATTTCATTCAAGCAAAAAAATTTTTTGTCACATGTCCCTAATTGAACCTGAACAAAATAAATATTTTCATCTGGTCGTCTTTTACTTTTGGGTTTTCTGTAATTTCAAATTTTAATGTAACCAATTAAAAAAGCAATAACAAAATTTACAAAAAACGACGTCATATTGCCGAGCTGCCGTGGAGATTTTAGCATTTCCATTAATTTATCCAATTTCACAAATATTACTTAACCTCTTACAAAATTCCGACTTTCAAAATTCTTTTTTCTCAATCTTGAGTGAATTTTACCCAATTTTATTTTAATGATGAGTGAACTCTAACTCCGACTTCGTTGGCCAACCAATGAAGCTAAGGATCGATCTGCATTTCATTTTGCTTAATTAATCCCAATATTATTTTTTACTTGCGACTTTTCACCTTCTCAAAATATGTAATACTTTTCAAAGAAAAATTAAATACTGCTTTTGACCCTTACTGCTTTAAATTTTGTGACAATTCACGCAGGCCTTGGGTAACATTGTAAAATCAGCAAATTCTGCAAACTTACAAACCTTTACAAAATTTTGCACATATTTCTTAGAAAAATTGGCTTACCAATTTTTGCAAATTTGCTCAGATCAAGGGCGTCTTTTGTTTTGCAAAAGTTTGTAACATTATTTTACATCATTCAAGGGTTTTACAAAGTTACCAAGAACTGTATGAATCCTGACTCATCATACTAGTCGAATTTTAACAGTTATCGTGTTGAGAGTCACGTGGTAGGTTACAAATTTCAATAACACTTATCTCCGTGATTTAAAGTAGAACGAAGTCACGAAGAATTTTCTAGGTGGAGCGGAGACAGAGTTGCAAAATTTTAGCAAGTACGAGTTCCGAATGGGTGGAAAATTTCAAGGGTTGAACATTGTTTGAAATGGTTTTATGTTTGAGGGTGGATTTTTTGGGGCCGTTAATTCTTTGACAGATTTCTGAATTCCATAAAGAACTGATCAGCCTGGCCGCAAGCGTGGAGGCTGGATCGAAATAGTCCAAAATTTTGTTTACGATCTGGTAAAAAATAATAAAGTGCGACATTAGAAAGGTTGTAAAGTCGCAAAAATGAAATTTGATATTATCTCGTGATAAATTTCCAAACTTGAAATTTTGTACAGAAATTTTGTACAATTCTGTAATTTGCATAATTTTGTAATAATTATTTTTCATGTACAAATAATGTCTCGAATTTTTTGAAATTAGGACAAGTTTTAGTATTTATATTCATTTATTCATGACAAAAATGATTAAAATGAAAGCTGATAATATTTCAATAAGTTGAAGATAATTAAGTCACACAATCGATAGGACCAAATCTCATTCAATAACCCGAATGGATCCCTGCAAGGTAACAACAATCTACTCACAAATTAAAATTCTAAATATTCATATTTCACCTTAATCTCCATAAAATGATCCTCATGTGAAACTGATTAAAAAAATATGTACACATATTAACTTGTGTACAAAATATGTAAAATATTCAACTCCCAACTATTTGCATTACGAAGGAGAATTATTTATTAGAAAAACTGCACATTGTGCTAATGAAAGTTCTAACTACTACCTTTAGATTCAG